GAGAGAGAGAGAGAGAGAGAGAGAGAGAGAGAGAGAGAGAGAGAGAGAGAGAGAGAGAGTGTTGTTTGGTTGCGCCACACTTTGTCCTTTTTCGTGTGAATCTGCGGTGAAGCCTCGGCCCCACCTTCTCTCCTTTTTCATGCTCCTACCTTTTTCTCCTCTGGCTGCCCCCGCTGCCTCTAAAGTTTTCCTTCTTCTTGCATTCACTAAATTTCAATCTCAAAGATCTTTCCCTCCCTCCCTTCCTGCCTCCCTCCCTCCCTCCCTCCCTCCCTCGCTGTGCATTCACCAAAATGTGAAGAAATGACCAGCGGTCGTGTGTCGGATCGGAGTTGGGGATCGCATCGTTCGGATGAACGGATCAGATTGTTTCTCCCTGTCGCACCCACTTCGATTAATGATCCTGTTTTTTTGAGGCTTCCTGCTTCACGTCGAGTCACGTGCTGGATTGGACCGAAGCGTGCGAGAACTGTCGCGTCCTTTTGTTGTTGTCCCACTTCAGAACACCGTGTAATGGCTGTAGTGGTTAAGAGACTTGGCTCTTGTGGCTGAGGGTGGCGGTTCGGTGCCGTGCGTCCACGGTTGCATCTAACGCCAGAAAGCATGGATTCATGACCACTTGGAAACGTGGAAAGCGCTCTTGATGGACTTGGGGGTAAAAAATGGCACCTTCAACCTGTGTTACAGTGTTATTATCCTCTATTTCTTGTTCCCCGCCTTTCCATTGCGCGCACGCTTTGCTGTCCTTTCCGTCTGTCACTCACTGGTCGGTTTGGTTAGGCGTCTCATCCAGCAGCTGTCGATTCTTATGACTACAAATTCTTTTTCCTCCTCCTCCTCCTCCTCCTCCTCCTCAGATTGGTCGTAATCCGCTAAGTAAACAATGGAAAAAAGAAGTTCAGTCCGTGGTCAATCCCTATATATTGCAATCAACGGCGGGGGCGGCATAAAATTGCCCCCTACTCGAGGCCGACGCAATTTGTCGCTCGCTGAGCGAGTTCCACTCGAGTGCAGTTCTGTTGGGGCAGCGGGAGGAGAAGACTAATCACTTGGTTAGTAGAATCTGCGGCGGGAGGGAAAAGCCGCATCCAATGAGAAGAAGCGTTTCCTCGGACGGTGAGCAAGCCACTTTACGTATGCAGCACGTCAGATCTGCGTGGATGGGAAGGACTGATCGGCGGCCAGGAGGTAGATGTAGTGCAGGGTAGTTGGGGAGAGAGGGGGGAAGGTAGCTGTGGGTGGTTTTTGCCGTACGAGAAGGAACAATCGGTCAGACCTGGTTTATATCGGGCGGGAAATAAGCTACAGAGGTACTTAAGGGGCCTCGTCAAACCACTGGCCAAATTTGACTCTTCCCCGACCCCCCCCCCTCCTCAAAAAGAAAATGGCGGGTGCATCTTCACACATTCAATCGCAAGCGGTATGGGCCCCTAAATGATAGTGGGTGGATTTCGGGCGGGCGGGTAGGCGGGCAGGCGGGCGGGCGGGSGGGAGATCTGTCAAGGAGAGGGAGGCGATCGGAGGGCAAATTGGCGAGACTATGCAGACCAAGGCTTCACGGAGGGAGTCAAACTAGACAAAGGGGATCGGGAAGTGGTGGTATCGTGTGAGATCTGGCGAGGGTGGCGGATGCTGAGAGAGGGGAGGCGGAGGGGGCGCGGGGATGGCATGTCCTCGTGGTGAGCTCTCTTTTCCTTATTCGTCGAATGTCTCTCTGTAAACTCCCTCGCAGCGGCAACGCGAAGTATTTTAAGTGGCCAGCGGCCTAGCTCAGTTGGTAAGGCACGCAAGTGGCATTCAGGAGGTCTTGGGTTCAATCCCCATTGGCCTCATGCACCTCCCTGGGCAAGCTTGGCGCCTGCCACTTAGAGATATGCCGTTGGTCCCCCCGAGTGGCATTGAGCAGAGACTGCTGATGTTCATAGGGGGAGGGGACCCAGGGGGAGGCACAGTGACTGCCCCATCGACGAAGCTCGGTCCTGATGCTACCGGCTGACCCCTGGCCGGTATGGCCCACCTGCTGGTGGGTGCAGCTCCCGCATGTTCCCTCGTTGGAGGCATGAGGATGTGGCTTCCCCGTAATAATACTATAATGACAATAAAAAAGGAGAGGGTCCGGCGCTAAGCGGTCTGTCCTGCGCTAACAACGCACGCCGCCAGAAATGGCTGACGCTCTGGAGTTGTCGGCAAGGCCGGGAACCGGTAGGTGAGGTAGGTCTGTCTTCTTCGTATATTTCGAGAATTCTACCATCTCCCGCATGGTATTTTCTACTGCGTTTCTCCCTGTGAGATACCAGGGAGAGGGAGATCAGGACCCTCTGCAGAGACTGGGCGTTGACCCGCGATACGCAAGTCATGGATTCTACGTTGATAAGAAGAAGTGGGGTCGACGCAACTTCAACAGAGTCGCAGACTTACCAGGAGTAAAGAGGGATACGTGGAAATCGAAGTGATTTGTGGTGACACTCCATGGTGCGAATTGTGTCGACGATATTTTCATTCTTCCAAGGATCCGGACTGTCCCTCCAGGCACCAAAGAGGACCGTCAGGGGGTCCGAAAAGCCCTCAAGGGGGAAGTGGGACCCAAACGACCCAAACAACGGAGGCGGCCGAAACCAGGGCCGTAGCTTTTGAGGAAAGGGGTCTACGAAGGGACCTAAAAAGGTACCCAGTCAGCCCCTGGGTGGGCAGAAAGAGGACGAGGAAGACAGGGAGAAGCATCCGGACAGACACAGGAAGCGTAACAAGGGAAAGCCAAAACCGGCTGGTCCGGAGAACCTTGAAAAGGAAGGAGGAGTGGACAGTAGGGAGATAGTGGTTTGGAAAGAAAAAACTCTTACTAAACCACTCACGAGTCAGAAAGGATCCCATCGGTCCATTTGGGATGAGGAGCGATCTAATTTAAATGACACGGAGATGGAGGATAGTGAAGGAAATTTGGAAGTAAGGAGCGATGATAAGTAAGCCTGTTGAGGACGAGTCAGATCAAGCGGTCGAATTGTCTGATGAAGAGGAAGAAGAAAAGAGGAAGATAAAGAGGAAGATGACGAAGAGGAAGAAGATGAGGACGATGAAGAAGAACGGGGGGGGTTGGTGAGGCTGAAGAAGGGGAAGGTGGGTGATGAGGACGTAGGAAAAGAAGATGAGATGGAGGAGGAGGAAAAAGATGGGGAAGAAGAAGAAGATGATGAAGAAGAAGAAGACGAGGAAAAAGAGGAGGTGGATAAGAAAGGAAAAAAGATCGGTGAAAAGGGAAAGGAAAAGGTGGTTGAAGAAGATGAGGAAGAGGAGAAGGAGAAATGACCCCAAGATTCTGGAGCATGTTGAGCAGGAGGAGATTTTCATAAGGAAAGGGAAGGAAAAAGAATCAGAAGGGGGTCATGGTAATTAGGGGGACGCAAGTGAAGGAGACGTAATGGGTTGCCTGAACGTTGGAGGGAGGAAAGCCGATAAGAGGAAAGATCATGAACCACACGATGTGAGAAATGGGAAAGAAGAGGATATGACCGCTGGGCAGGTAGGCGGGGACCAGGGGGGGGTGTTCAGTCGATGGAGAGGGGGCGAAGAATGAGCCGGAGAAAATAAGTGAGGCCAGTGAATTGGTAGTATCCGTAAACCACATGGAGACGGCTGTATGGTCTCCGAAAGAGTTCCTTCCAGAAGGAACGGTGAAGCCCTGGGGCAGTGTTAAAATGAAAAAGTTGGACCTGGTGCTAACTCATATGATATCCCAACACGGTGTCCTTCTGAACCTTCCCGAAAATTCCTCTGTTTTTAATAATCAAATTTTTGCGCTAAATGAGGATAATCAGAAAGCCTTGGGGGGCGGCTTTAATACCTCCTCGTTGAAACAATAAAAAAGGCATGAAAGGCCGTCCTTTCCAGATTTGACAGGTAATTGAATTGGTTGTGCTTAAAAATTAGCCAAAAAAAAAAGTATTTCAAGAACCTGAATTGTAGATATCGCTGAAAGCGAATTGCATTTCACAGGCTGTTCTTCTATTTTTCAAGGGATAACTAGCGAAATACCCCTATAAGGTGAGATATATGCCAAAATCCCCCAAAAAGATCTGGGAAGAGCGGAATACCCCTCTGACGTGGAAAATGTTTAGCGAAATGCCCCTGGCGTCGGTTGAACCTGTCATCTTTGCAAAATACCCCTACCGGCTACTATCAATGTTTGCAAAATGTCCCCGTACTTGCCAACTTTTCCCAGACCCTTCATATTTTCGTTTTACCCCTAGTGGCCCAGGTCGTCTTTGCGTTTTGCCCCCTTGCTGTGTGTGTGTGCGTGTGTGTGTGTGTGTGAGAGAGAGAGAGAGAGAGAGAGAGAGAGAGAGAGAGAGAGAGAGAGAGAGAGAGAGAGAGATGGTGCTTCCATCGATAGGATGAGCAACGCACTGGCCAACAGGTAATTCTCCAACCCTGCGGCTGGCCTCACGCTACTTCCATCCACAGGATGAGCAAAATAGAATGAATCTTCCTCTAGAACATGGAAATATACACACTATTACATTTACGTGTGTGTGTCACACAGAGAGAGAGAGAGAGAGAGAGAGAGAGAGAGAGAGAGAGAGAGAGAGAGAGATGGTGCTTCCATCGATAGGATGAGCAACGCACTGGGCAACAGGTAATTCTCCAACCCTGCGGCTGGCCTCACGAGAGAGAGAGAGAGAGAGAGAGAGAGAGAGAGATCAAATGAATCTGCCTCTAGAACATGGAAATATACACTACTACATGTACGTGTCAGAGAGA